AAGGTATACAAAATAACCCAAACAAAATTAAAAAATTATTTAAAATTATACCTATATATAAATAATGTAAATTGAAATACCAAACATTATACAAATAACTATTTTATAATTTTTTTTTTTATTTGTGCAACTCTTAATTTAAGAATGTTTGTTACTTAAATATCTGGAATGTGCTTTCTTACTTCAATTTTAAAATTAAAGTTTTAAATTTTTAAGCTAAAAAATATGTAATGAAGTAAAGCTAATTGTCTTCCGTTTTCCTCTCCTCTTTCTGTATCACTCATCAATAACTTTCGTTCATCAATAACCCTGCCACGGTCAACAATCCTACTGCGTTTTCTTGCCCTCGCTTACACGCTTCCTGTCTCACGCGTCCCTTCATTATGTCTATGTACATACATATGTTGAACAACTTAAATCTTCGTTTGGATAGAAACACTCTACGATGAATCACCCTCGCAGCTGCGTATCGAACTACAGCCATCGGATTCGTCGGATGCATCAAATCAACCACTCAATGCCGCTAGTTTTCCACTCTATCGAAATGAGAAGAAATAAAAGGATACTAGGATGTAATTCTACTGTCGAAAAACTAACTGATTAAATTTTCATACAAAGTTATAAAATCTGCCCTAATAGTGCTTATATGTAATGCTTAGGAAATAAGTAAGTAAAATTTACTTTGGGGCAAAAGAAAAGAGGATCATTAATCTTAAACTATTTTAATTTGTTAGTAATAGGGATACTATTACTTTCACTTATACTTTAGTAACATATGTATGTAGTATTAGGGTGATGCTCAAACTGCGAACAAATAAATGTTGTATGGAACACCACTTTTATTATTATTATTATTTTAAAATTTGGAAATTTTCGTCGATATTTTTATTTTGTACGTGGAACGAAATTATGAGGTGACCCATACAAAATGTAGATGCTTATATTTTAAGAAGCACCCTAACACGTTTGTATGTATTTATAAAAATATATCTATATGTACGTTCGTATGTATGTAAATACCATAAGCGATTTTAAAACACAGCCACTCGTACTTGTATTCACATAAACACGCACACATCTAATGCACATACATATGTATATCTATTAGGGTGCTTAATTTTTAGGCGATATATTTTTTTTTCTCTGTGCTACCGGAAAATCTAAAACTTCATAGAAAATAAAAAATTATGCCGTTTGAAAAAAAATCTTAAGTGCATCATCAATTTGATTTTTCGGTATAAAAATTTTTTTTAAGGAAAAAAGAGTGTAAATCTTTAGTAGGGCAAAAAATTTCAGAAAAAATATCGTCTTAAAAGATATTTATCAGCTCGAGCTCAGAAATTGTTGGTCGGTCGACATTTGCTCAGTTGTGCACTCTTTTTTCCCAAGAAATAAAATTTTAATATCGAAAAATCGAATTGAATCCGAAAAAAAATCCCGTGTTATTTATACGGGAAATCGAATTTTCGACGGACGCACTTAATTTTTTTTTCAAGCGGCATAATATTATATTTTGTATGAAGTATCAGAGAAATTAAACACCCTAATGTCTATGTACATTAGGGTGGTCCTTAGAATCAAATGAAATTTTTTTTAGTCTCACAACTTCAACTGGTAATACCACGGTCACAGATATCACATATAAATTTTGGTCCCGATTGGAGTCGGTTAAGACGTCTTCATAGGGTAATCTGAAGTTTTCCCCCTATGCGACACTGTCTCCAATCGTGACCAAAATTTATATGTGATATCTTCGACTATAGTAGCATCGCCTTAGTAGTTAAGGCTTAGGAAATGTAATGTAAACAACTGTTTCCTACATTTAAAGACCACCCTAATGTTCATATCGTCGTTGATATTGTAAACCGTTCTATGTCACTTATTACCTATGGTGCTTAGTTGATCTGTTATCTATATTTGATCGTTCATTATCATCAGCCAAAGGTAGATAGTTTTGTCATTCGTTTATTAGGGTGTGACGATTTGCAGATGCATTCCGGTATATGTAAGAGACCATACAAGTGTCAAGGGTACTAATAGACATAGACCGTTTTGCAATGTCACCGACGATGTATGAACTAAATATTCAAGCCTAAGTACCCATCAAGTAGTTAAAAGAGTATTAACTTACTTAGATAACTGAATTTAAGAAAACAAATAAAGATTTGCAAAATGTATTTAAACGGAGGCATTAGGGCTGGCAGGTCTAACTGGATTTTTTGAATATCCGGATAATCTGAATAATCGAATATCTAATAAAAAAAATATCGAATATCTGGATATCGGGATAAAAAAATGGACGGATATTAATATATATGAACCGGATTTTTGTCCGCATAATAAAATATAATGGATATCAAACGGACATACGTGTTTTATTCGTATACACGAATATTCGAACGGACATCCGGATATCTGTATATTCACGGTTAGTCCCAGCCCTAGTATGTCTATATATGAATATCTCAAGAGCCCTCCACGTTTTGAGTAGCTGATGTTCTTGAGTCACATCCAAACAGAACAATTGTCGGGTGATTCCAAATAGTTGAAGTAATTTACACAGTTTTTTTCTTCAATTGCATTCTTAACGGAATGAAATACATATGAGTTTTATATGCAAATAAGTCTCTGCATCAGAAAAATGGTGTTGTTGCCTATTTAATGCAGTCAAACTAAGGTCGAAAATTGGTGGTTTTTTTCTAACTGCGGCGAAGAGCTGATTTAGCAACTCAACCAAAAAAATGAATTTTGAGAGCTCAAATATGAACCAATTTCAAGTTTCTTTTTTTTTTAACAAAAGACAGTTAAAATTCGCGTCGATCTATTCGTGGCGAGTTTTTAAAGAAACCCTTGTTTTTTTATTAATGTATGTTGAAAAATGAAAGAAAAGCAAATTTCAAGTTTGAATGCTTCCACTTTTTTGGAAAATACTTGCATTTATTTAAAAAGCTATTCATAAACATTTTTCTATAGGAAGCATTTAATTAAAAGAATATTTTTAATTTGCCATTTATACTGATATATATGTATTTTGAAAGCTGTTTATTTCTGATCGAAAAACTCGAAAACAGCTGAACCAATATTTTTGAAATTTCGGACATCGACTCTAGACCCTCAAAGGATGATAATAGAAGAAGAATAATTTCGATATATCAAGGGGCGTGGCACCTCCCATACAAACTGAAGTTTTCACAAAACACCTCTCTGGAAGTATTCACCGTAGAGTGCTGCAACTTAGTATAGAGATATATACCTAATATCAATTTTGCAGTTGTGTAGGAATAATGAAGACGAGAAATTTAGGCAATTCCCCATCGCCCGGCTTGCCAGCTGTTTTCTCAATTATCTCGAGGGAATGGAATTTCTAGCGAATATTAAAAAAATTCTCAATATATATGACAATACAGTGGTTTTTTCTCACTTATAGGTCCGACCCGATAGTATCCGAGTGTAGGCCATTTGTCCAAGCGTCTACTTGATGCCCTGATATTAAAGAGGTCCACCTCTTTTAATTTTTTTTTCCCTAGGTAGACGACACCTCCGAAATTAAAATGTATGTACATTTACACCATTTTAAAACTAAAGATAATTTTTTTATTCAATTGTTATTCCTTTGAAACTGGTTCAGTGTCGATCAGATTTTATTAATGTTTTAAATTTATTTTCACACGTCATAGATACATACTATATGCACATGATCTTCACAAACTGAAATATATGGCCGCTTACTCGAATTGCGAAACAACATTTGAGAACAGAAAAATTAGAGCAAATGCAAATTGGATATTAAAAACAAAAATCTCATAATGAGACACTAAATATTTATTAAGTTGTTTACCGAAAAAAAAACTGCACACGATAACAAATTTAAATACACATACAAAGATCTCAAGTAGCACAAAAGTCAAAAATACACCAAAATATTTTGTGTATTTTTTACATCGGCGTGATATACATTTTCAATATAAAAAATATGCTATTTCTAAGCGCAGTTTTTGAACAGTTTATTTCGATTCGGTGTAAAAGTTATACCGTTTTTTCGTGCATTATTTACACCTACCGTCAATTTTTTTTACTGATTTTCGGCATATATATTATGCCAGTGGTATACAAGTTGTCTTGTTTCTAGAACATAATATAAACTCCGTTGGTGTAAAATACGTATTGGTATTGGCTCAAATCATACACCATAATGGTAAAGAATTTACATCATATTCTAGCATAAATATATTTTCATGAGTGTGAAGAGTACAAAAGGATTCGAGGAATAAAATCTACTACTAATCAAATTTAAAATTAACTCAGTCATAAAATTTACACCGAAGCTCTTTTTTTAATCTGCGCGACTTGGAATTCTTTTTTATAAATCTCAGCATTCCTTTTCGTAATATGCAGGCAAGAAAATCGCGAATATATATGAATGTGAGTTCCTAATTTAAAAACGAGGTACATTCTGTCGAGTGAATTTCGGTACTACCCCCTCTAAAACTCGAGCGCCTCAAAATTTATAAGGATTTGAAGATTTTTAAATAAATCTGGGAAAACTTATATTTTGAAAGCAATGAATTTTTCGCCATTATTAAATTTTTAAGAGATGCAGGCAGTGTATTATGTACACACACACTAGCTTTGTTTCTTTACTTTCCTAGCAGATCATTATCAGGAAGAAGAATGGGAAGAACTACAGAATTACGCTCACAGCGAGTGAAATATAGAAAAAGTCAAGAAACGCAAACTAGCAGAAACTAGCTAGTAAACACCTGACCGATGCTTTTGACAACTGAACATATGTATTTGCTGCGAATTTTTAATCGCATTTTATGTTTAAAAATTGTTCACAAATACTCAGGTTTTGCCACACTTTATCAAATTTAATAAATCGCCCATTTTTATCAAAAAATACAATAATATGTAAAAGAAGCAAATCAAAGTAGCTGTGCCTAATCTCTCTAATGTTGGAGCAACAGCTGAATTTTTCACCGCATAACGTGAAAATTATGTGTTTCTTGTAATTTGCTTTTGTAATTTTTTACTTATATTCGGCTAACACTACCTTGTGTAAATGCGCCTATCTGTAAAGAAACAAAGCTACTGTGTGGTGTATTCAATATTCATTTTTTGGTGAATTCTTTGGTCCACTGTCAATTGCTCTCAGAATTTGTGATGTGCTGAGTCGCTACTTTTAAGTATTGATCGATACTCGGTACCGATTTAAAAAGTATCAATTTCTAATAAAAGCGCGCAACAGCCAAACATATGAGTTATATGTTCACATACATATAGTGTCAGCTATTAAAAATAAATAATATTGCCACCAGAACGGTTGCAAAGACGGTTGCGATAAGTAAAAGAAGGCGAGAGTGTGTTTTGCGACATCAGTTCAGGGCGAATTTAATAAGGTGGTGTTACCGGCGTATCTGAATTTTTCGCCGTGGAGGACATTACATCAAAATTATGTGTTTGTTGTAGTTCATACTAATGACAGTATGAATATCTGCGTATAATTTGTAAGTGTAATTTTTTACTTATATACGGCTAACACCACCTTTTTAAATTCGCCTTGATCATTATTAATTGCCTGCCTTGTTCGACGCAAACATTATACTTGCTTCATTTAACTACATACATACAAACACATTGCTCATCTCTTGAGAAAGGACCGTCTTATTTGTACATTTTGGGTTTTTAGGCGATGTCTTATAAAATATCAATAATTTTTACCCCCAAAAGTAGCCTATGTCGAGATAGGTCCTTTTCCCTTTAAAGCCACATTTAATTGGATTCTTAAACAATATTTTAACTTTTAACTAGCCAAAGATGTAGTTCAAGATGCCCCTATAATAGAATCTTAATTAAAATATAAAACAATTTCAATGGAAACTGATTTTTTTTTTTAATTCAAAGTCAAACCATCTAAAGTGACTTAAGCTACTTTAATTGAACGGCACAGATATAATGACGAAAGTTTTGTGTCGAATGGTATCGGGTACCGAAAAGGAAGTATTGGGTACCGAAATTTTTTTCAAGTATTGGGTACCGAGAATTCAGCACATCACTACTCAGAATGTCGCCTGAATAATTTTAACGACATTTGTTAACGTGGAGCTATTTGTGAACCAAA